TTACACATTAAGAATGTAGGAATAAGAATTAAAATTATAATTAGTGTTTATTTATCAATTTTTAAATACAATTATGAGATTTGATTACTTTTTCAATTAAAAATATTATTTCCTAATTAAAAATGAGTATTTCTATCTTATTGGTAATCTAATTTTTAAGTTTGGATTAATGCTTTTAGATTTTTGTTTTTATTCTTTTTGTTCATATTATTGGTGCTATGGATGTTATTATATTAGGATTAATTGTCTTGATTTGTTGTTTTTATATTTTTAGAACATTTATTTCAATTATAGGTAATACATAACCAAACATCAATATTTATAATCATTACAATTCTACCCTACTAACATACAAAATACTTTCACCAAAATCCATTACCGGTATCAAGTATTTGATTCCAATTTCGATTCTGATTTCCATGTGCGAATCAAACACACCCTAAGTCTTGCTCCCCCTTGCCAAATCAGGATGTATTTTTCATCTTCCTTTCGTATGGGGAAGAAATTGTACAATTTTTAGTGCATTTTGTTTATTTTACGTACTTCGTAGCTTATTATAAAAGAGTAATATTTGTCTTGTGTATACTCTAAAATAGTGGTTGTGAATTTTTCTCGTATGTTTTAAGAGTTATAATATTTATTTGAGTGTTCAAATATTATTTTTCACGTTTGCTGAAAACAATATATTTGAGTGCTCAAATATATTGTCAGGATCAATTGTATCATGAGAAATTAATGCTTCAACCCGTACTCTTAATACTCTTGGGAGAAAGTGAATTAATTTTAAGAAAAGTGTTGTGCATACACCTGGGATTAACTGTATTTCAGTATAATTTCTTTTTGGTCAATTTTATTTTTTCAAACTTTATGGTTAAAATTTCAATAACAATTGCGCTAATTCCATGTATACCGATCAAATGATAACAGATGAATATTATTGCACAAAATATCATAATGTCATGCATATATTAACAAGATACACACCCTTAATTTTATCTCACAAATCACTACTCTATAATGTGGTGAAATCCTAGACATTAATAAAAAAATAATTAAAATTAACAAAAAGAAACTAATGCCTAAGGTTTTGCCACATCATAAAGTTGTAAATTTGTGAGTGGCAAAATTTAGGAGTAATCAGAAATTTTCAGTTAATTTATTTTTTGTCCTAGATTTATAGGTGATAGTCCATTTTTATTTTTTTTTTCTTTAAATCTAAACATTCTTATTTGTCCTAGTATTACTGTGTTATGACCATTTTTTATCTTTCGTGAACAAAATCATTGAAATGTAATTATATATAAAGACATTTTGATCTTTTTTTTTGTTTGTTTGTTTTTTTTTTTTTAATACAAAGTAGGTTGAGTCGCTATATTTTTTATGTTTATTTTTTTTGAAAAAAATTATAATTGAAGATCGAAATGTCCTTATATTTAACGAAATTTAAATTGTTTTGTTGATAGAAGACCAAAAATGATCATGTCACAATAATACTAAAACAAAAAATGGATGTTTTGAAAAAAAAGGACTAAAAGTGGACTGCCACCTATAAATCTAGAACCAAAAAAATGGAATTAACTCTATTAATAATATAGATAAGATTACAATTTGTTTGATTTGGGACATAATCATATTTTAACTTTAACTGGATATCTGTTGAGCATATAACCATTAATGTACAATCTAACTATCAGTTTAGGTTTTTAGTTGAGATTGAGCACATGCTTCAATTTGGTATAATGCTAAAAGTCCGATAAAAAAAAGAGACTACGGTCTACGTGTTGCCTGGAGCCCATCAAGAGTAATCGACCCGCACATGTGAGGGGGGCGTGTTGAGCATATAACCATTAATGTGCAAGCACATGCTTCAATTAAACATAATTTTAAAATAACAAATAATGTTTTTTGGTCAAATTCGTTACATGAATCTTCTTGATTAGTGTAATTTACCTCATATGTATAGTTTGCAAATTATTATGTAGAGCGAAATTTAGCTAATACATATTCTTGAATAGTGATTGTGAATTTTTCTTCAGAAAATACTATATAGACTCACTTTTTACTCCCAACTTATACTCTCTTTCACAAATTCTTGATGTAGACACTTTTTCTGGGTCCACATGATAAAAATATACTATCATTGTTTGCCATGTCAGGGAGTGACAGGATAATAGGCTGGCACCCGACCCGGATCACAAATGGGCATGGACTCTTGACTCAGCGTCACATGGGAACCCAACGGATAGAGACTCCAACGGTCAGGAATTCCAACAGGTGCCACCTTTACTGACATTGAAGACAGCATTGAAGCCCCCATTGATGAGAGAGACTTAAAGACCAGGCTCCTCATTTATGTCCGTGTTGTTACCGTTGGGACTCTAAGTATAAAGAGGGATCTCCTCAGCTAGCAAAGACACACTGTACTTTCTATACTAAGAACTAGAGCAATACCACTATTGTCTCTCTGACACATCGCTATTAGATTATCGTTATTATTATTTACCGGTAACGTTATTACCGTCATTGGTGCTTTCATTGAGAGCCTGAATCCAATACTCAAGCAGGCTACAACACAACTCCCTTTCTCTTTCAACAACAAGCTTGAAAGAATGGCGTCCCGCAGCTCCCACGGTTCTCGCAACGTGAACAATGGAAACGCCTCAGGTGACCTCCGTGACCTACTCACCAACAATCGTGGAGGGGACCTCCGAGACCAACTCAACAACGGAGGTGACCTCCGAGACCAACTCAACAATGGAGGTAACCTCCGAGATCAGCCCAACAATGGAGGGGCGAACCAAGTCGTGAACCTCCAAGCGACCATTCAGCAGGCAGTGGCAGCGGCACTGAACCAAGTGGCGATGGGACTGCAAGGCCAAGCGCCCCCGCCTCAGGAAATAGAGGTGGAATCCCCGCGGAGGGTGGACGCCCAGGACGCAGCACGTGCTGCGAGGGACGCAGGGCGTCGCGCTAGGAGCGGACCGGCCGGACGGCAACCTAGGCCCTCCCGCTCTGCCTTGGAACGGTTGGGACACGGGGCTCCCGCTCGGCAAAGGTCGGAGTCGCGTGCCGGGGGGTCCTCCGCTAGAGGCCCTCGCCGATACGAGGAAAGGGAAGCTGAGAGATCGCCCGTAGAAAGGATGGGCGAGTCTCGTGCGCCGGCCCCGCGCCGACACGATGACGAGTCGGCTCTGCGTCGACACTCGGATGAGCGACGCTTCGACGAACCGGCCCCGCGTCGGCACTCGGCGGAGCGACGCGATGAGCCGGCTCCGCGTCGGCACTCGGCGGAGCGACGCGATGAGCCGGCTCCGCGTCGGCACTCAGCAGGCGAACGACGCGTTAATGAGCAGGTTCCACACCGACACTTGGATGGACGAAACGTCGAGGAACCAGCCCCACGACACAGGGAGGAGCGGCAGCCGGCTCCGCGCCGACACCTTGACGAGCCGGGCGTCTGGCGGCCATAAAAAAGTAAAGTGAAGCAGGAAAGGATTTGGAAAGCTTAAATCAGTGATTTGGAAGGCAAATTAGGGATTTGGAAAATAAAATCACATATTCTAAATCAAGCAGAATTCTATGCAGGATCGAATAAAATCAACTTTACTCCCAAGTCAACCCAGACACATCCGTTGACTCAGGAGTAGGGGGGACTGGTGACAGGATAATAGGCTGGCACCCGACCCGGATCACAAATGGGCATGGACTCTTGACTCAGCGTCACATGGGAACCCAACGGATAGAGACTCCAACGGTCAGGAATTCCAACAGGTGCCACCTTTACTGACATTGAAGACAGCATTGAAGCCCCCATTGATGAGAGAGACTTAAAGACCAGGCTCCTCATTTATGTCCGTGTTGTTACCGTTGGGACTCTAAGTATAAAGAGGGATCTCCTCAGCTAGCAAAGACACACTGTACTTTCTATACTAAGAACTAGAGCAATACCACTATTGTCTCTCTGACACATCGCTATTAGATTATCGTTATTATTATTTACCGGTAACGTTATTACCGTCAGGGAGTAAAAGTGCAATCATTATTGTGTGGACCATATTTTATCTACTGTAAAATAATGTACATTCAGTACAAAAATAATGTACATTGTATTCAGGGGATGTACATTATTTTTGTTCTAAAATAATGTACATTTAGTATATTAAAAATATACTTTTTGTTATGGTCCACACAATAATTTGCTGTAAAAGTGATGGAGTAGAATTCTTTTTTAATACTGTCTACCATATTTGTAGTATATGTCGTCTAACAATTATGCAAACACTGATTGGGATTCGGTTCGAACTTTAAGACATCTCTTATAGAAATCAATGAATAATAATAAATAGTTAACAGAATAGCCAGTTACTAAAGTTTATACTAACGAAATTCATATGTATTTAAGGGAAGAAAATAATATAATAGTGTAAAATAAGAAATTAAAATAAAATAAATATCAAAATCAAAATAATCTGAATCATTCATTTAATCAAATAATTGGATGGAGATTTTTAGTTTCTGTTATAGGCTTAAAATATATTATTATATTTAGTTTACAGTTAGATACTCCGTATTTGATAATAGATATCATTGTCCGCAGATAATAGATATCCCATCCAGTACTGGATCGGATATGGGCATATATACAGCGTCATTGGCGGCTAAGGATATGATTGAATGTGAAAAGTAAGAAGACTCCCAAAGAATTGCAATTTATATTATGATGAAGACATACATGCACCACATTATAAAAGTGGGCACAGTGACAATAATGTAGGGTAAGGTGTAATTTGTGGCAATAGTAATGGATCCAAGTCTTATTTTAGGAAATTAATTAAACTACAAGATCGAGCCAAACAGAAAATTTCCTTTCTATATAAATACCCTTCCTGCGCCCAGCTACTACATACTCACCAATTCAAGTGAAGTTGAAGAGAAACCTACTGCTACTTAACTCTCTCTCATCTTAGCTTCCACATACCATATAACATATATTATGTCTCATCAAATGGCTGAAAGTGAAAGGAGATCTGGAAACTATGCTCCTAAGGTCTGGACCGATGAATTTATACAATCACAAACTAGTGTCTATCTGGTAAGTAAATTAAGGCATTAACATATATATATATGTATATATCCCATTTTTAGTTTATTACTTATATTTGAAATTATATATATTAATTAAATGGAAAGACAAATTAAAATTCATATATAGGACCAAAAATACTTGGAGCAAGCTGCAAAGCTGAAGGAAAGTGTGAGGGCAATGTTGGAAAGTAGTGGGACGAAGCCATTGGAGCAACTGGAGCTTATTGATGCCCTTCAAAGACTTGGGCTGTCGCGTCATTTTACTCATGAAATAAACAACATCCTGGCAAGCATGCACGTACATATTGATAAGCACCAAAACAATGGCAATAGTTTGTACGAAACAGCTTTACTGTTTCGGTTGTTGAGACAAGAAGGCTTCCAAATTTCCCATGGTAATTAAGTGCATAATGTACGTATTAATTAATTAACCAAGAGTTAATATATATTTTGTATGTTGCAGAAATCTTCAAGAGTTTCATGAGTGAGGAAGGGAGTTTTGATGTGAAGGTTTGTGGGGATATTAAAGGAGTGTTAAGTTTGTACGAAGCTTCGTACCTTAGCATGGAAGATGAAGATGTTTTGGAAAAGGCCAAAGACTTTAGCATTCATCACCTCAAACAAGCTCTCCGCCAACAAGAAATAATAGATGAAAAGCTGGGCGAGCAGATTAGCCATGCTCTGGAGATGCCATTTCATTGGAGGATGCAAAGACTGGAGTCAAGGTGGTTCATAGATGTATATGAGAAAACAGACAACAGCAACTCTATCGTTCTTGAGTTTGCTAAACTGGATTACAACATGGTCCAAGCCCTTCATTTAGATGAACTCAAACAACTTTCAAGGTATATATATATGTATATATATAGTACTGCTAATGATTAATTGAACTTAAATATTAATGTACATTAATAATTATATATATTACTCCATCATATATATGATATATCGATCTTGATGCAGATGGCATGAAAATATAAATCTAGCAGAAAAGTTGGGTTTCGCAAGGAGTAGATTTGCGGAAGCCTTTCTATGGGCTGTTGGTTTTTCTTATGAACCTGAGTTTGCATATTTGAGAAAGCTCTCAACCAAGGCTGTTGAGTTAATTACTGTGATTGATGATGTATATGATGCATATGCTACCTTAGCTGAACTGGAAATCTTGACTGATGCAATCCACCGGTAAGTTCTTCATATATATATATATATAGTCTTGCTGTGGCATGCATATATGCCTCATACTAATTAATAAAAATCTTTTTTTTGAAAGTAATTAATAAAAATCTAATTAATCAATAATATATAATTATTTAGGCTCTGATTGGTTCACATAGATGATGCCATATTTTTTTAATTAATCTTAATAAGAATATAAAAAAAGTTAAAACTAATAATTTATTTTAAAAACGTTACTTGGTTAGCATTTTAAAATAAATTATCATTTTAAACTCTTCCTCATATTTTACTATAGAATTTATTTGTAATTTAAAATAAGATATAAGCTCTATCAAACTAATTCTTACTTATGATTATTTCTCAGGTGGGATATCAATGCAATTGAGGAACTTCCGGAGAACAATAACCTTAAAATTTGCTTTCTTGCCCTCTTGAACTTTGGCAATGAAATGGTGTATGAGGTTCTTCAAGAAAAAGGAGTTAACATCCTCCCCTACGTGCAAAAACATGTACGATACGGTATATATTAATTATATGTTTGGTTCAATTAATGAAGTTGGATTGAAATTATTTTTAATTCAAATTTTCATTATAAGTTTAGTATTATTATATAAAATTTATATATTTAAAAATTACATTAAAAATAACATTAAACACCAAAAAAATCATAATTAAAAATACATAAAAATATTAAAGAAAACACTACTGGAAATTATGAAATTTTCGACCACCTGAAAGTGATCTTAAATCAAGTTGAAAGCAAAAGTGGTCGGAAATAGCAACAAAGGTTTTTCTGGATACCAAAAATGGTCGGAACAAGGTTTTTGACTTGATTTAACATAACTTTCAGGTGGTCGAAAATTCCATAATTTCCAATAGTGAAATAATTAAGCGAGAATAAAGAATTAGTGTGAGTAATGAATAGTAAAAAAAAAAAAAAGGCAGGTAAAATGGGATAGAAGAGGAAGTAGTATATTGTATTGTATTGTATAGTATAGATCAGTTAAGATTTGTATTCATCTTATGGAATCTATATGTGTAAAATATAGATGGATTGGAGTTTGAATTATTTAATTTGTAGGAATGAATTGAATATAATGTTAGTTTGAAATTAACATGCAGTGGGGTAAGCTGTGTAAAGCATACTTGGTGGAAGCAAGATGGTACCACAGTGGGCAGAAACCATGGCTAAACGAATACCTGGAGAATGCGATCGTGTCAATTTCTGGTGCACTGAATATGATGCAAGCTTATGTTTCCATGGCGGACCCCATTAAAATGGAAGATCTGCAACTTCTTCTCCAATACCCTGCTATTAACCATCATCCCAGCCTCATCCTTCGCCTGGCTGATGACTTGGGAACCTCTGCGGTACGAGCAAACAAATTATATATATTAATGATGTTCTCAAATGGATATAATATATATATTATATTGCATTTGCAGGATGAAATGGCGAGAGGTGATGTTCCGAAATCAATCCAGTGCTACATGAACGAAACAGCTGGGTGTTGCGAAGAAGATGCACGCAAATATATGTGCGAGATGATCGAAGCAACATGGAAGAAAATGAACAAAGATATATTGATGGATACTCAGTTCTCCAGAGATTTTATCAGAACGGCAATGAATGCGGCCAGGATTGCTCAATGCATTTACCAGTATGGAGATGGTCATGGTTGTTCAGATGGTATAACTAAACAACGAATTAGCTCACTCTTTTTCCAACCCATTCCTCTTCCATTCAATACTTAATTAATTAATACCTACCAACAAGCTAAGCTACCTAGCTATAATAAGTACGTCTTAAATATATATGCATCATTCTAGCTAATAATGTTATATATGTTTTCCTTAGCTTAATAAGTTGATCGGGCATGTTAAATGTAATGGAGTTTGGGTTATTAGTTATTATATATATGTATGTGTGTCATGTGTTGGATTATATTATTTTATCAATGATATATTATGTTTGTTTAATTTGCCTGCCCTTTAATTCCTACATAGTTTTGTACAATTGTATATGCATGTGTCATTATAAAATATATTACACAATAATACAGATTATGTATATGGCAAATCACTTATTAGAAATATAATTAAAATATAAATCTTCATTTTCCCTAGTAAAGAAACAAAAGCAGATGGGAATAACAGGAATAAATGCCTCAAAACACCAAATTGAAAATTACAGTATTGTAGTATATATAGTGTTGCAATTAAGGTAGTGTACACTAACATTACCCGGCCTCCATATGGGTATGGTGAACTCAGCAGTCATCGATTTCATATATTGTACAAGCTTTACTTTACTCCGCCTCCTTTCAAACTCTGCCAAAAATGAATCTTAACACTATTTTGTCAACGTTCGTAATTTTATTATTATATGTTTAAATTTAATTATAATTACTTAAATTCAAATATATAATATGAGTTAGTCAAATTATGCTTGGAAAATTAATTGAATTGGTCAAATAATTAATCTCAATAATAATATTATCGGCCCACTTCAAAATTTTTATGTCTATCGTTTCATTTTCTGGCATAGGGTGGCTGTTCGTTTTGTTAGATCTAGAATAATCTAACTAATACTGAATAATAGTATACGAGAAACCCAGGGCCGGTCCAATCATTTTCTAGGCCCGGGACAGGACAAAAAAATGGGCCCCGGTTAATATATATTTCATGCCTAAGATTTAATTTAAATAAGAAAAAAATTACTAATATCAATAACTTTAAATAAGATTAACAAGTTTTTAACAATTTTACAGCGACAATAATAATCATGAAAAAAAATCTAGGTGCTTTCCTTAATGTAAAATAATAAATAATCGTATAAGTGCCTTCATAAATAAATAATTATTATAGTTTATAAAAATGAATAAATAATTTAAAATCGAGTCAACTTATAAACAATAACATTGTTATCATAATAAATAATAAATTAATTATTATTAAAAATTTATAAAACAATAATTACAAACATTTGTGAAGCTAAAAATATTTTTTTGACTAGGAGAAAGAAATTAAAATATTTCAAAACGCAATAAAAAAATTCAAAAAGATATGAAACATAATTATCTAGATAAAATAGTTTGAATATAAAGCATATTATAAATCACACATCTTCTATATTTATATGATTTTTATAAATACTTTTTCTTTTAACTAGATAAATTTCAAACTTTTTTACAATAATTTGAATACAATGACACATGATAGAAACTTCTATATTACATTGATTAGATATTCATAAAAATGTACGGAGTAAATTATCTTTTAATTTTTTTCATAATTCAATATAAAAATATATCATATAACCCCCTTCGTCCTATTTTTATGTGTCTTGTTTGGTTAACATGAGTTGATTGAAGTTTTTTTTAATTCAATTTTTCATAATATGTTTAGTATAAGTATATAAAAATTTATAAATTTAGAAACTGCATTAAAATTTTAATATAAAAATTTATATATTTAATATAATTTTTTTTTCATATTATGTTTAGTATAAATTTATGAAAATTGATATATTTAAAAACTACATTAAAAATACTACTCCGTATTAAACACAAAAAATCATTAAAAATAATTTTTTAAAAGATACATTATAATATAAGTAAAGAAGTAAAGTTGAGGAATTCTAAAATGTAAAGGGAAGGATTGGATCACCGGCCTTTGATTGAAGGAGGTTAAAATTTAAATATCTTACCAGCTAAGCTAATTCACCTTAATATAAAATATATGTATATAAATTACTTATACTCAATACATATATAATATGTATAAGAGATAAGATGGGGCCTTCCCCAACCATGGGCCCTGGGCAAGGGCCCAGCCTGCCCTTGCCCCAGGGCCGGCCCTGGAGAAACCTGACCTCGTATGATAGCTTGCGGAAGCGTAGCCGTGTTGATTTCCAGCCATAGTTGATGTTCCTGTTGTGTTGCCTCTTAACGGTAGACCGTTAGCCATGTTTTGCCTCAGACCTGTTCCTGTTGTGTTGCCTCTTAACGGTAGACCGTTAGCCATGTTTTGGCTCAGACCTGACTCAGAACCCTAGATGGTGTATTGGTATCTACTGAGCGGTCTGAGTACCGTAACTGAATGTTAGCACATTCAGTTACGGACCATAGACCATAATGTCCAAAATTGATCTAAGGATTGAAAATTGAATGTGCTAACATCAATCATCCTGTATCCCATCAATCCAGAATTATATTAGGCACAGAGTTTGGTTGACTAACAACTACTAGTTATTAAGTCCAACCAGACCACTTAAACCCTAGTCAACTTGCACCACTTAATTAAGGCCCTAATATATAATATATAATATATAATATATATTATTAGGGAAAATCTTACACGTTTGTGTATAAGGCCACTGGGCTTACTGGCCTAGTTGATAGGTTTGATCATTTGATGCCCATCTTAATCTCAAATATGACTATCAATGCTTGATTTCAACAACTATATCGTTCTTGAGCTTGCTAAACTGAATTTCAACATGGTCCAACCCCTTTATTTAGATGAACTCAATCAACTTTTAAGGTAACTTTTTCTATCAATCGACATCGACCGTATCTTTAGAGATTATATTGTTTGGTACATACTAGCTTGGTAATGAACTTGAAGTCTTAAATGTACATTAATTATATTGCTCTTGATGCATATATATATATATATATATATATATATATATATATATATATATATGTCCATCTACTTCTTTTTAATTATATATATAGATGAATTGAAAATCGATGATCGATGAGTAATTGAATTGATGTTTTATGGATGGATCTGTATCAGATGGGATGTGAGTGCAATTGAGGGGCTACCAAAGTATATGAGTATGTGCATTTACAACGATGACTATATTGGAATTACATGGAGAATATGTGTATTATTTAATTATTATAGCATAATAACGTTAATATGAATTTTTTTTATTAATTACCACAAAATTTTAGAATTACGCAATACAAAAAATAAAAACAAAAAAAAAAGTTAACAAAATAGAAAAAGCAGATTACAAGAAATTAATGAAAGCATAAATACCCTAATACGAAAAAAAAATGAAGGCATAAATAATTACTGAAGGCCATCGTCGGGAGGTCATGAGATCGAGCCTCAGTGAAGACGTTGTTGACTCTTTGTGCTTCATTAGATCGAGAAAATATGTTTAAACAAATACTACAATATAATAGAGTCAGTAGCATTCAAAAAAAAAAAAAAATACTATAATTACTGCAGGCCATCACAATCTTCAAACAAATCAAAGTTATCAACCCAAAAATTGCATGCAATCATCGCACAATGTAGGCAATTTATATCCTACACCACGGCGCGCGTTGCACTATGCACCCAGATGCAAAACGACGTCGTTTTAAATTTTTTTTTTTTTTTGAAATTTCCCACCCCAGTGAATGGCAGTAGTTTTTTCTTTAAAAAAAAAACCCGCTGTTCAAGAATGTACATAATGTTATACTAGAATACACATAATTGTATACATGAATGTACATAATTATATAACAAAATATACATATTCATTTTAAAAGATAATACACATAATCTAACATAATACATAATAAACATAAACTTTTAACATAATACACATCAACTATTAACATAATACACACAAATTTTCTGATTCGGATGTACATAATTGTATAAAAAAAATGTACATTGACAGGATAATGGTGCTGGCACCCGACCCGGATCATAAGCAGCACCTGACCCGACACCATATTTAACCCGACATCGTGTGGAATTCCAACTGGCAGAACTCCAACGGGCAGAACAACAACGGGTGGAAACATTATGGTCATTCATTGCATTGAACGGAGAGAATTAAAGCTGAGCGTCTCATTCATGATTCTTCATGCTATTGCCGTTAGCCTCAGCTCCCCAATTATGACTCTTCATGTTGTTACCGTTAGGACTTAGCATAAATAGAACTCCCCTCAGCTAGCAAGGGGGAGGACACACTGTATTTTCCATACTGAAACTAAGGCAATACAACTATTGTCACTTTCTTATTCGTTACTTTTATATTATATTTCCGGTAACATTATTACCGTCATTGGTGCTTTCATTGAGAGCCGAACTCAAGCAGGCTACGACACACACAACTCATTCCTCTTTCAACAGCAAGCTTGAAAGAATGGTGTCCCGCAGCTCCCTCGGTTCCCGCAACGTGAACAATGGAAATGCCTCAGGTGACCTTCGGGACCAACTCACCAACAATCGCGGAGGGGATCTCTGAGAACAGCTCAACAACGGGAGGCCCGGGGACCTTCGAGACCAACTCAACAATGGAGGAAACCTTCGAGACCAACTCAACAATGGAGGGGACCTCCGAGACCAGCTCCACAATGGAGGGGCGAACCAAGTCGTGAACCTCCAGGCGACCATCCAGCAAGCGGTGGCGGCGGCACTAAACCAAGTGGCGGTGGGACTACAAGGCCAAGTGCCCCCGCCGCGGCCCCAGGAAAAAAGGGTGGAGACCCAGAGAAGTGGACCAGCCAGACGACAACCAGGCCCTTCCCAATCTGCACCAGAACGATTGGGACAAAGGGCGCACGTGCGGCAAAGATTAGGATCACGGGCCGAGGGATCCTCTACCAGAGGTCCTCGCCAACACGAAAACAATGAAGCCGAGAGATCACCCACAGAGGAGGTGAGCGAGTCTCGGGAGCCGACCCCACGCCAACACGTTGATGAGTCGGCTTTACGTCGACACTTGGAGGAGCGACGCGTCGAAGAGCCGGCTCCGCGACGGCACTCGGCG